CCCACTGGGTAAAGATTGCGATCGTTAAATTAAAAACAATAGAAAATTCAAAAAAAAAAAACGAAAAATGGTTCAACTAATGCAAAAACTACAGAATATATTTATTTTAATCTAAGGAACTTGAAGATTATAAAAGTCCTTTTTACTTTAATATTTTTATTATTTCAATTTAATAAGCAAACATTTACGCTTATCAACGATATCAACTTCTCAATGTGACGGAATTGTGTGCAAATTGATGGATTCAGGCGTTTTGGCATGAATTTGATGTCACTCTTCTTAGAATAATGACAAGAAGCAAGGTTAGGCCAGAACCAACAAGGGACATCGTGACTTCAATAAAATTCCAAAGGTCTAGCTTGCAAGTGTTCTTTGATGTAAACATCCAAGTTTAAAATTGACAACGTGACAAAAGCTCAAGATTTCAAACCGCAACTGCTTATTGCTTGCCAAATTTTAATCTTTAAAAAACTCTAAAACTTTACATTTTTTGGCTCGCACTCTGTTAGCCAGGGTTTTGCATGAATGATCGTCGAATACTAATTGCCATTTTCGTATACTTAAAGCTTCTCTTTCATCCACATCAATTTGCTTGTTTGATAGATAGAGAGCTCTTGTATTGTCCGAAAATGCCATATATTCTACAGCTGTTCGAATATTGCATATTACAAATGTAGTCAATCATTCAGTTATTATTATTTTAATAAAGTAATAATGATGGATTAAATCAAATTACATTTTATACATTTTGTTTTTTCAAATTTAATATGCTTTTCATTTTTCCATTTCACAAAATATCAAGGTAGTTTTTTTTTGTTTTCATACCTAATAAATTGTTTTAATGTTATTGTGGTGTATCCTCCTACGGCCAATTGCCATATAAATGCCACATTCCAAAGCCCGCAAAGACAAGTTCAGCTTTCTGAAAAGAAGTTTAAGAAGAAGACAAGTAAAAGTCAGAAAAAGTCGAGTTAGAAAGATTGCATACAAAATCGAACAGATATTTGCACTGGGTGTTAGAATGTGGAATTATATTATTAATCAGTTATAATTAGTTAATGAGCTTGATTCTGAATACCAAGTGAATGCAATTTTATCCTTATAACTGATTATTTTGTATTCTAATAAATTGTTTAATTTATTTTTTAGTCAATATTTTAGTTTTAGTCAATACCTTGACTGCTATAAACAACAAGTTTTAGTTTTGAGATACCCGGTTAACTAGCATACCGCAAAGCTAACTGCAAGTATAAGAAAAACTTAAATTTTATTTGTTTTAGCTTTTTATTAAATGCCAAGTCACCAAAAATCAGACATATTTATTTGTCACCCTTTAGAAGGTGATTTTTCTCAAGTATAAACAAAACAAAAATAAACACCAAGTTATTTGTTATTCAAGCGTAACTTGACAACTCTATTTTTAGGTTTTCAGATTATTATACAAATATAAGTTGAAATCTGAAAAAAATATAACAAAAAAAAAATATAACATGAAAAAGAATGAAACAGCAATGAAGTTAGTTTTAATAGTAACTTTATTTTTTCTTGTTGAATGTATCGAGTTTGAAATAAAAACAATAGGCGGTCGCAATGGTATGAAGCCAATTTGTATTACCAAGTTAAAAGTAATTTGGGAAACTATATGCTTTAAACAGTTCAAACAGTGTCGAAACTTCTGCAAATCAATAACTGTTGAAGAATGTATAAAACGATTGTGTCGATGGTGTTTGTCAAAATGTGTGAGTCAGATGACGAAAATGGCTCCATTTTGTTACAAACTTTATGATTTTTGATTTTCAAACAAATTTTTGATTGCTCCAAGACTAAATTACATACTTAAATCCTTAATGGAAAACATTTTAATAAAAATATATTATAAGATTTTCTTATTAAGTTATTTTCTTTTTTTTTTTTATCTGAAAATGTTACTTTATATTTATATTTTTAATAATTTATATTTTTAAATGAATAATAAAAAAATGCAGTAATTATTTCTGTATTTTCATCTTATTGTTTTATGAGTATCTGAGTACACGCTTAAAAATAGTGTGGACAAAAAACACGACACTTAGTGTAGCGTCTTTTTGGCTACACAAATTGTGTACTTTAAGGCTACACTTGTGCGCTTTAAAACCACACTTCTAATAATGAAATTATATGCGTAAAAAAAGCCACATTTAAAACACGTAAAAAAAGCACTTTCGTATCAAAAAGGCTAGATTCATGTTTTTAGCGACATGTTTTTTTTTCGCCGCGTCTGCATGCCAGGCGAAAAAATATGAAAAAAAATATGAAAAACTATAAACCAGGCTGTAACTTTTACCTTTATGTAAAAAGTGCCGGGTTTAAAGAATATGAAAAACTACACACCAGGCAGTAACTTTTACCTTTGCTTTTTCTTATGTAAAAAGTGCCGGGTTTATAAAATATGTAAAACTACACACCAGGCAGTAACTTTTATCTTTGCTTTTTTTTATGTAAAAAGTGCCGGGTTTATAAAATATGTAAAACTACACACCAGACAGTAACTTTTACTTTTATGTAAAAAGTGCCGGGTTTAAAAAATATGAAAACTATAAACCAGACAGTAACTTTTACCTTCATGTAAAAAGTACCAAGTTTATAAAAAATGAAAACTACACACCAGGCAGTAACTTTTACCTTTAAATAAAGCTTTTACAGGTAGTAACTTTTACATTTTTTAATTGGTCGTAACTTTGATCTTCTTTGTTATATAAAAAGTATCAGGTTGACAAAATATGCAAAAGTAAAGGGCGGGTAATATTGTTAAGTATTAAATTATTCTCCATCAACATGTTGATTCTAACCTACAACTATTACAAAACCAATATTTTGTTTTAGGTGTTTTTTGCAGCGTAGAGCATTTTAAATGACTCCACAACAAGCAGCAATAGCAACTTCTTCATCTTTCAATATGTTCCTACAAATTGAACAAATCCATTGTTGCTTTTTTTTGCTAATAATTGCAGATTTGACAACTTTCCACGCTGCAGGTTTAAAGAACATTTCTACCCTCTCTATATCCAAAGATTTCTCATCACGAAGAGAATCTGGCAAAAAAACTGATTTTTTGATGTCTGACGAACAAATTAGTTCCCCCCCCCACTCAATGCTAATTTAACAGCTGGAACCTGTACTATGCGGGTTAAAATAAATCTGTCTTTATCTTTAGGTAATAGCTTAGTGTATAGTATTGGTTTCAGATAATTCTTTTTTTTAGGGACACCAATAACTGTTGTATTAGCCCTTTTTGGCCGGCCTTTGGTTTTCATTTTTGGCGGCATTAATACTTCTTTGAGATCTAACTTTGCGGGATTTTGAGGAACATCCTTTTCAGAAAGAAGGGGGAAAGTCTTAATAGAATCAATATGTTTATTTGTACTGATAGGGCTTGATTTGATCTTCTTAATGCCTGTTTTAGTGACGTGACAATCAAATTCCATCAAGTCAACGTTATCAACTTCTATAATATTATCATTTGTCACCAGCGTCACTTCTTCTCCTTTTTGCCATTGTCGTAATATAACCTCCAGTTGCGCTTGTCTTTTTTTGAAAATTACCATACCACCCTCGCTTCCAGCAGAAGCTAATAGCTGACAAGTTTTCAATAAGTTTCGATATTTTTGTGCTTGTGTTAAAGCTTTAACCGGTTTTACATCAACTTCCGAAACAATTTCAACACTTGAAGTTATATTGGTATCGTTTCTTGCTCGAAGAGATTGATTATAATATTCCTTAGTCCATCTTCGATTTACTAACTGTACATCAAACATAGGTAGCATCAAAAACATGCGCAGTTGGAATAAATGGTAACATGGTAATTCCATTTTAGACATGAATCTGCAATTGCAAAACTCTTTTGACGCAATCAAAAACTTAGAATGTTTTATGTTATAGTTTCCAATTTCGTCACTTTTTTCAAAATTAAAAGATAAATCATTTTTAATTTTTTCAAATTGTGAAATAACAAAAGAAAAAGCATAAGGCGTTAAATGTTCCCTGTATAAGATCATATCAGGATGACTTGGTATAGCTATATCGTGTCTTGTCAAAGACATAAGGTGGTGGTGATTTCTGTCATTCCTGATTGCGCCAAGAAATACAAAAAATTCTATAAAAAATTGCATCATACTCGTATGCTTTGTACAAACCGATTTTAATTTGTTGAACATCGATTCCAGACGATTGTTAGTAGTTTCTCCAAGGTTAAAATATAGATCTTTATAAGCTGTGACCCATTGGTGTTTGATAGGATCCCAATTTTTAACAAAATATTCTGTCACTGCAGTTAGTTTTGTATCTAAAAGCATTTGGTTATTCTGCTCGTACACAATACTTGATTTAGAATATGCAATTTTTTGAATTATTTCAAGGCAACGATTTCTATCGGCTGAAGTGATAGAAAATTTTAACCCATTTTCTCGCAAGTAATTTCTCTTCGAAAGGAGCGTAAACTGTAAAAACAAAAATTAAAGCTTGCATAAATATAAAACAAAATATTTGGGGAAAATAACTTGAACATTTTTAAACCCTCTTGTCAGTTTCGCTCAATATCAGAGCTCATCAGCATGCCTAGAGTGTTAAGCATATTACAAATGCCTATAATAACACTCGGACATGGACAGCACAATGATTTACAGTGATAAACTTCATATAAAAAATAACTAAAATTTAAAAACAGATATGGGCGTAATGTGCTACTGATCAAAAATAAATAGATAAACTAAAAACTCATTTTATTTACAGAATTTACGGTTATCTAAAAATGGTTTCGAAAAAAATTAAAATAATTCTTACCAATGATACAAACAAATTAATAACATAGCGGCAGGAAAGGCTACAGCAAAAGCTTCTCTTTCTGTAAAGTCTTTATCCGACATCACTACACGTGTATTTTTCCAATAGCCGTTGTGTTTTTTAAAAATTTGCACCACCTCTGTAACAATTGGTTTTGTTTCCTCGGCGCTAGTATAAACAAAGCCACAATCTCATTTTGGCCATTTCCATCTATTACAATCATTAAATAAATAGGCATGCGTAACCCCAGTAGCTGGTACGTAGCATCTACAAAAAGTATCTCTGGGTACCTTTCGTACATCTTCTGCATTTGTGAGTCCTGAAAAAAAAGCCCCTTGAACTTTTTATCAGAATCAACAAGAACTTCAACCAGATCCTTTTCGTTGTTTGAGAAATTCTGCAATGTCATATATTTCATTATCAGAAAATGAAACTTTAGAATATTGACGAAGGTTAGCAATATCTTTTAATATGCATTTTTTGCCAGACAATAACTCAATCTTTTGCTGTAGATGTTTGCTATTTGCTTTCAACTAAATCGCCTCTTTAACGTTTTTCATCATATCTGGAGATAAAGTTCTTTGTTTAGGCAAGTGTTCGTACAGTTTCTGAGAAACCAGATGATTGTGTTCTTCTTGTACACGCACCACTTGTAGGTGCTGATTGTCAACTGAAAGTTCCAGCACAATTTCAAATAGACAACCACAACGGAAGGATTTAGTTTTTCTCTTTCTTTCTAATTCTGGCTGACTCGACTTTCCACTAAACTTGCAAACAAACTGTAAAGTTTGGTAGTGCAATGCCATATTAGCTAAAGCAATTCGTTTAGGAATTCTCTTTTTAGCAGCTTCTAAAGATCTTACTTTACTCTTCACAAGTTGACAATGTCGTTTTAACTCATAATTAGTTTTACAAGCCTCTACCAATTCAATACTTGTAAACTTTTGTCCCACTTTCCAAATAACCTCATCCTAAATGTTAAAAAAAAATGTATTAGAAAAGGTTTAAATTTTATATCCATGTTTGTGTGGTTTGGATGGTTTTCCATAGTGACATAAATGCCACTATGAAAGAGTTAAAGCATTTTTTTTTACAATCGGATGCCCATCCTGATGATCAACATATAAAAAAATTATATTTTCAATTACTTTACTGTCACAATTATCATTGATGCCAACTGATTCGTTTTTATCACCTGTTATCTGAATAAGAAAAAAAATCATTATAAGCTTCTAATATAGTTACCGAATCTAAAAACATTTTTTAACAAGTAAATTAACAATTTATATAATCTGCAATGTAAAGCATATACTGCTACTGTCACAATTATAATTGATACCAACTGATTCGTTTTTATCACCTGTTATATATATATATATATATATATATATATATATATATATATATATATATATAATATATATATATATATATATATATATATATATATATATACAGCAGCGGATCCAGGATTCAGTGGTGGGGGTAATGTTTGGAGGTTTACTTAGGGGAGGGTTTTGGATGGGGTATCCCCCTCCCAAAAATTTATGTGAGACAAGCATATAAATTATTATACAATAGGTTTATTAATATCAATTGATTACAAATTAGTGGTGACGACTGCAGAATTTTAGGTAGTGAACCACTGGGTAAACTCACTTGACTGACGTCGTCAACTATTGTAGTTGTAGGACTGGAAAATAAACAAAAAAGAACACGGTGAATACCCTTCTAACATTTTGTAGCATCACCGCTACTGTAAGTCAGGATGAATTTGTGATTTAGTCACTTTTTATTTCTAGTTCACTTTTTACTTTTGAATTAGTCACTTTTTATCACACTAATTATTAGTGTAATTGAGTACACGAGTTGCGTAAAGTTAATTGTCAAATGTCAATACAAAACCAATTTTGTGTGGACATTGGAAAACATTAGCTTTAGTTACTTTACATAAACAAATAAAATACAACTGAAAAAAAACTTTTACATTTTATAAAAAAACTGTTACTTTTGTTGAAAATAGTCTGTCATCTTACGCCTTTTTAGTATATTAAGTATATTTAGTAATATTCCATAGTATGTTAAGATAGTAAATACAGGCGATTTTAAAACAAGGCGATTCAACACACAAATACTGGAACTCATGTGCAAAACGGCAGCCAATTTGATTAAGCTTTAAAACGTTTTGATTGAAACCACCACAACGCATTCGTTCGAGTAAAAAAAATAATTGAAAGTCTGGTGGGGGTAATGCATTACCCACATTATCCCCCTTCCCCTGTATCTGCGCCTGTATGTATATATATATATATATATATATATATATATATATATATATATATATATATATATATATATATATATATATATATATATATATATATATATATATATATATATATATATATATATATATATATACACACACATAGGTACAAACACACAACTCACATTTGCTGAACATCCAGGTGGTTCACCAATCATAATAGTTGTTTTTATATCTAAATCATTAGAACTTTTAGATGATTTGCCAATATCTTCAAAGGATTTCTGAAAAAAAAAGTTAAAATTAATAAAAATAATATATATATATATATATATATATATATATATATATATATATATATATATGAATATATATATATGAATGTATATATATATATATATATATATATATATATATATATATATATATATATATAATATATATATATATATATATATATATATATGTATATATATATATATACACACACAGTGTTAGCTAGCCCAATGGTGCCGAGTATAACGTGGAAATCCCAATGGTTTAAAATTCCAAAAAACCAATAATTTTATTTTTTTATTTACTTTTTTGGGACAATTTCTTTAAAATACCCAATAATTTGCAGAAAAACAAAAAATATTTCCAATACCGCAAAAATGCGGTATAAAATGTATTCCTGGCTAACACCCTATATATATATATACATAAATATATACACACACACCAGAGGTGTACCCTGGGGTTTTTTTCAAGTAGTGACTAAAATATATTTTATAAAATATATTGAATTGCTTCAATAAATTTGACTTTAAAGTTCTTACATTTATTAATTGATTTTCAGAATATATTGAAACTGAAAAATCTACATCTAAAAAAAAAATGAAAAAGATATAAACAATATTCTTATTTCGTTGTCAGCTAAATATTTCAATTATTTAATATTTTTTAAAATTTTGAAAGTATTGGTGAACAGCCCTTGGGTTTAGGGTCAGCATTTGGAAAAGCCGACATAACTGTCAATACTTTTTATGATGGAACTTTTGTGAATAAATGTAATAGCTGACCTGATGCCAACCTAAAACAGTTTAAGATCGGCAATTTTTCGCAGACTTTAGTTTTTTTCTTTCTGAGTGTTGAGCGTTTGAATAATAAAAAATAACTTATTCCTACAACTTGTTGCTACAAATATTAAATGAAAAGTAAATATTGATTGAATACCAGTCTTACCAGTCCTACAATATGCTTCTGGTGAGCTACAGAAACGTTTTTTATCTCTAAAAAGAAAAGAAAAATTATTAATTATATAGTAATAAGTAATAATGGTTAATAAGTTTAAAACAAAAATCAAAAAAAAAAAAAAAAAAAAAAAAAAAAAAAAAAAAAAAAAAACATTAATTTTGTATTACCTTTCAGAAATGTACGCACTCAGAGCTACTTCAGCCTAAATCAAGAATAGGCAAAAATATCATTACAAATTGTATTATTAAAATAAATAATAACAAAATCTAAAATAACATTATTTAATTATATAAATAAATAATATTTAATTATATAAATAAATAATATTTAATTATATAAATAATTATTCAAAAGAATAAGAAATTGAAAAACGAAGATTTAAATATTCAGATTTTAGATTACCTTTATTCTTGACACATTACTAGCGTTAGCAAATAAAAATACAATTGATTCAGGCATTAAAACTTTAAATACATAGTCACTATCCTAAAAAGATCATTACATATATGACAAAAATTAATACTGGAAAAGGGAGTATTATTCAAACAATGAGTTTAAAATGACTTTGTTTAGAAATGAATAATTGAATAATATTCCAGATTATGATTACCTTCAACTTGTTAAAAGCTAAAACAAAAGCATTAAAAAGATCATGTGATTGGTCTTCTGACAATAGACTAAGGAGATCTCCGTTAGAAAGATTTTCTAAATAAATAAATAGAAATGTAAAAACATTTCAAATAATCAGAAAATAAATAAATAAAAAAAATAAAAAAAATGAAATAATAGAGTGTTAAGTCCTATATTTTTATATAATACAAACTTTTATCTTCTCCACCAGCAATAAACCAGTTATGTCTGTAACTGTATAACTGAACATAAAATACAAAAATATTATTTAAGGATTTAGCATTAGTAAGTTGTTATTAATTTTGACTAAAAGTCGATTAGTTGAAGTTAAAACTATTTGATTTCAAGTATTTAAAATTGAATACTTGAATAAAAATAAAATATTGCAAAAGATTTACATTAAAATATTACTCATCATTTTGTTTCCAAACTGATGTTTGAACAACTCACAAAAAATAACCAAATGTTGAAATATATTTTTAAGAACACAGTATTTAAAGAACTCTGTAGACTTTAAAGTTTGTTTTAGGTATAGACAATAAACGTTTTATGATAAAAGGATAAGCAATAACGCTTATTTACTCAACTAGATTATTTGCTTACTAGTAAAGAAAGAAAATTTATAATAGAAGAGATAATTAAATAGTACCCTGAGCTGGCAAAAATGATATTTGAATCTGCAATCCTACTACTACGGCAATTGATAAATCACAATAATAGAAGCGCGCTATCCTACTGAGCTATCCCAGCTTAAGTAAGATACTTACAAACTTAAGTAAGATACTTACTTGACCAGAATAAATAGATTTTAGCAATTGAGAAGATGCTATTTCCATAATACTTTTCTTTGTAAACAAATTCAATCCTATAAATATTTAATTAAATCCTTATTTTTATTAGAGTTATTAAAAAAAAATTACCACCATAAAATAAAGTAGACTGTATTGTAGATCTTCCACTCAAATCTAGACTTAATATTTAAAAACAATTTCAAACAACTTAGAAAATTGAATTGAAATCTAATACCTGTGAACCTATCAAAATTTATTGAACATAATTTTTTTACCGATATATTTACACATCAAAGTGTATCAATAATTATATACAAACACGAAGAAAAAATGTATACCTGTTGTAACAAACGTATTCAAGTCTCAATATCACTTGAACTACCTTGAAAGAAAAAAAAGACATTTTAAATTATAAGACAAATTTTAATCTTGGTTTGTTTTAAATAGAAAACAGAAAAAGTGAAAAAAATAAATAAAAATTTTTATACTTAATCATTAACTACAAATAATGGATCCATCATCAACTGAAAATTTGTTGCACAAAGTACATGGTATTTTAGAAGTGTAATCTGTCTAAAAAAATTATTAGATTGTTATCCTTTTGTAAATTAGCATATATTATATAGTACATATATAATATATATGTACTATATAATATGGACTAATATATATATATATATATATATATATATATATATATATATATATATATATATATATATATATATATATATACATATATATTATATATATATATATATATATATATATATATATATATATATATATATATATATATATATATATATATATATATATATATATATATATATATATATATATATATATATATATATATATAAGTAAAGGAATTTGTTCAGAGAAAAATTTTTTTGAGGGAGGGGGGGGGGGGAGAAGAAAGATGCTTAAATTTTGTTTTCCTGAAATTTAATGTCTTAATCAAGACATTAAACTGATCTTTGGACAAGTGTTATAAATAAAAATCATATTGAAGAAATGTTGGATTTTTTTTTTTAAATCTAATGGGCTTAGTTTAGTTTTTTCCAACATGTATGACAAGTTTAATTGAAAAATATTTTGTAGCAGATAACTAATTTTTATCACATAAACCTAATTTACGTACTATATATATATATATATATATATATATATATATATATATATATATATATATATATATATATATATATATATATATATATATATATATATATATATATATATATATATATATATATATATATATATATATATGTATATATATATATATATATATATATATATATATATATATATATATATATATATATATATATTGAGATTAAAAATCTCAATATATATATATATATATTCGTTTCTTGGCGCAGAGGGCTTGTTTGTCAAGGTTTGTGTTTAGGAGTTATTAAGAGAGGGTTTTAACCACAACTAAAAGTTGCCTCCTTAACTGTAGCAGCCTTTAAAGCCTTGGAAAGGTAAAAAACACACACAAAAAAAGCTCATTTTATGTAATGTACTTATTTTTAAACAGGTTTTAAATTAGGTAATTGCTGGTTATCTGTTTAATAACATCTGTTGCCAAAAACAGTTCAGTTAAATAGAAAGGACACTTTTTTTTCAATATTTTTGCTTCCAACAAGGCTGCAATTAACCACTAATAGAGTTGGAAGTTACTGGAATAAAATGAAGTTTATAAAGCAAGATAACAATTGACATATGACTTTAAAGATTAGAAATTATATGAATCAAAATAGAAACTGAAGCAGGTGAATTCCAAAGAACTGATGTTCAAAGAAAAAAACTAGATGAATAAGAACTTTTGGAGCACTTAGGAACAGTCACAGAAAAAGGATAAGACTTAATCAAATAAGGAGTAGCATGAGTATTTGTAGAATTGAGAAAAAGAAGCAACATTACATGTGATAATGGTTAGAGGTTTGCAAGACCAGGTCCAACTATGTGTTTTTGTACCTTGTCTGAAGGGAAAGAGTATCATTTCAAGATCCACCCCTCTTTTCCCCAGATATGGCAACAATATTCCATATAAGGACATTTTGGAGATTTTAATTAATTATTAAATCAAAATTATGCAATAAGTTAAAGCAAATCAAGCACTGACTATAGAAAAACAATAAATCTATAGCAGAGTATGGTTTTTATCTTATGCTAAATCTTGTAATTCCAATAAAAAAAAATTTTTTAATTACTTTTTGCAGTAGACGCCAACCACTTTCAATAAAAAAAAAAAAATCTTTTTTCAGATTAAAGTTTATTTTTTTAATTCAAGAAAAAGTGTCAAACTTATTTAATTTGATTCAGCATTTTTTAAATAACTTTTGACTTGCTTTACAAGTACGAATTTCAAAAAGGTTGCTACAACCCTCAGAAAAAAATCTTTATTTCATCTTTTTATTATATAAGCAAGTATAAAATCTTCAATTTTAAAATTTCTACAAATAGTTATTTTTTGTTTAAGCTTTTCTTAAAATTTTCAACAAGGTTATCTGAAACAAAAATGTAACAAAAAAAAAACTATTAAATTTTCAAGG